GGGGGGGGCGGCGGGGCCGCCGGCTGCGGGCGGTGGCGGCGGCGGCGGCGGCGGCTGAAGGGCAGCGGCGGCGATGGGCGCTGCGGGGTGAGTGACCGGGCGGCGGGGGGAGCGGGGATCGGGGGAGCCCGACGGCCCGCGGGGGTGGTGATGGGGCGGGAGATGCTGTGGTGGGGGGCGCTGGGGGTGCGATACTGGGGCACTGGGGGCAGTACCGGGAGCACTGGGGGCAGTACCGGGAGCACAGGGAGTCAGTACCGGGAGCACTGGGGGGCGATACTGGGTCACTGGGGGACAGTACCGGGGCACTGGGGGACAGTACCGGGGGCACTGGGGGGCGATGCTGAGGCACTCGGGGCAGTACCGGGAGCGCTGGGAGGCGAGACTGGGGCACTGGAAGGCGAGACTGGGGCACTGGGGGCAGTACTAGGAGCTCTGCGGGGCAGTTTTTGGGCAGTGGGGGGCAAGAGTTGAAGCTCTGGGGCAGGAGGTGCAGTGATGGGGTGCAACGGGGAAGCAATACTGGGGGCACTGGGGGTCTGTGAGGGGGCCGGGGGGCAGTACTGGGAGCCCTGGGGTGCAGTACTGGGAGCATTGGGGGGCAGGAGGACAGTACTGGGGGTCCCGGGGGGCAGTGGGACAGTACTGGGGGAGATGGAGATGAAGCCTTTAGGGCACTGGGGCAGGAGATGCAGCACTGGGGGGCACCGGGAGGGCTCTGGGGTACGGAAGGGGGGGGGACAGGAGGGCGGTACTGGGGGGGATCCCAATGCCCTGGGGAGGAAAAGCAGAGGGGGTTGATGGAGGGGAAACGCAGTGACATGGGGATGGATCCTGCAGTGGGGAGCAGGAGGCAGAGGGGGGTGAGTGGCCCCCAAAACAGGAGCACCATAACCCACCGCCGTGGGGTAGCTGGAGGGTCTCTAGTGCCACAGGGGCAGGACAGGGGAGCTGGGGGGGCTGCGGGGCAGGGAGGGCTGCCAGGGGCCGGAGTGCCACTGGAATTAGGGCTCCCTGCTCAGGGGGAGGATGTTGGAGCCGGAGCACAGGAGGGGAAGAGTGTCTGGGATCGTTTGGCTGCGATGCTGCGTGCTGTGGCAGCCGAGAGGGATGCAGGAGCCTTTGTAGGGAGAGCAGCGCTGAACGGAGCCGCTGCCGAGGAGCCAAGCAGGCCCCTGGTTGTCATTTGTGTCTCTGTTGTGTATTGTTTCCAGCTGATTGGTAAAGATGGAAAGAGGGAGAGGAGGAGGAGGAGGAAGGAACCTGGGAGGCTCTGGCCTGCACAGGAGCATTTATTCCCAGTCCCAGCAGCAGTACCACTACCCTGCCTCCTCCCAGGGGAGCTGCATGGAGATCCAGGAGCTGGCCTCCAAGAGGGTGGACATCCAGAAGAAGCGGTTTTACCTGGATGTGAAACAGAGCTCCCGCGGCCGCTTCCTGAAGATCGCCGAGGTCTGGATAGGAAGAGGACGGCAGGACAACATCAGGAAAAGCAAGCTGACCCTCTCCCTGTCCGTGGCTGCTGAGCTGAAGGACTGCCTGGGGGACTTCATCGAGCACTACGCCCACCTGGGCCTGAAGAGCGGCCACCGGGTGCACGAGCACAGCAATGACAAGGAGCAGCATCCCCGGAGGCGGCAGCAGCACCCACCGCCCTCGCCCCCCGTGTCCGTGGGCTCCGAAGAGCCCCCTCACAGCGTCCTCAAAACGGAGTACATCGAGAGGGACAACAGGAAGTACTACCTGGACCTGAAGGAGAACCAGCGCGGGCGCTTCTTGCGGATTAGGCAAACCATGAGCAGGGGACCTGGCATGATGGGCTACTTTGGCCACAGCTTGGGACAGGAGCAGACGATCGTCCTCCCGGCGCAGGGGATGATCGAGTTCAGGGATGCTTTGGTCCAGCTGATCGAAGAGTATGGCGAGGGGGACATAGAGGACCGCCGGGGGGGAGGCGACGAGCCCCCGGAGCTCCCCGAGGGCACCTCCTTCCGAGTGGACAACAAGCGCTTCTACTTCGACGTGGGATCCAACAGGTACGGCATTTTCCTGAAGGTAAGTGAGGTGAGGCCGCCCTACCGTAACACCATCACAGTTCCCTACAAAGCGTGGACACGGTTCGGGGAAAATTTTATCAAGTACGAAGAAGAGATGAGGAGAATTTACAACAGCCATAAAGAAAAAAGAATGGATGCCAGAGGGGACAGTGGTGAAGAGCAAGAGGGTCTGGAATAGAGTGCATTGGACAATTAACGAAACAAAACAAGCAGAAATTGGTGAGAGGGACTGACCTTTAGTAATTCCAAGTTGCCCCAAGTTTTTTGTAAAGTCCTTTTCTGGGAGTTCTTGCCAACTCCGGTACGTAGTGTTATAGGAGTCTGGTTATCACGTTAAATTACACCCAAAACATCTCCGTATGTCTTAGGAAAGGACCAACCTCCCGAGTCCGTATGAGTCAGCTGCTTCGAGTGTTGAAGACTATGGAAGTTCGCGTATCAGCACAAACAAAATCCGGCACTCTGACCTTTAAATAGTCTAGATAAGGCTTGTGTTGCACTTAAACATGATACAAAAGTACCCCCACCCCAAACCTTAAGATGAAACGTATCACTTTCTGCTTATCACGGGTTTTCCTGGACTGGCTTCTGCCCGTACTCAGTCCAAAGGCTGAGCAGTGCCTCTGTAGGGCATTCACGGCCAAAATCAAACCCACATGAATTGCTGGTCTGTGTGAGGAGGGGGAGAGAGGTTTTAAAATTGGCATCTGCTGGTTATTGGATGGGAGAAACAACAGTCTGTGTGGGTAAAACCTCGATAACCAGTCAGACCTTGGTCACGTGCTGGTGAAGGGCAGAAGATTTGTTACTCATTCCGTAGTTTTGTGCTGACTGGATAACCTGAGTCTCCCGGGATAGCAGAGCTCTGCTCGAGCGCTAAGCCTTCTGAATTAGTGGCAATGAATAATAACCCACTCCTCATCTCTGTGTTCTGCCCGTGTGAGGCTGGCCGATTTTTTTTTTAATTATTATTATTATTATTATTATTTTTAATGCGTTTTGTCCAAAATTTCAGGAGGTATTTTTGTACGAGGTGTGTTACGGGTTCCAGCAGGCGACTGTGGAGCGGGTGTGGGGAGGTGGAGGGAACGCTTCTCTCCCGAGCGTGAGATTAATGCAGTCATGATGTTACCTGTGCCAGGAAAACACCCTGGGTGTGAGAAAGACCTCTTGGGGGGGGGTTTGGTGCACCATTGCATTCATAGGCAAAGGCATCTCTGTCATGATCGCCCATGGCGCGTTTCGGAAGCCGTGGTGGACGCCACGTCGGGTTTTCTGTCCTGTCGATTTTCCAGGTGTTGTCGTTAGGAGGTGATATCCATGCCCTGCCATCACTCCCCTTTCCCACCCGCTGGGAGCTGGAGCTGCCATTGAGCAGTTCCAGTCCAGTGTGGGTGTCGCCCCGCTGGAGCCTTTGTGACGTCAAGTTTTGCATCTCACGATATCGACTCTCTGCCTGGAGGGAAAATGGGTGCAATTACCCGGCTGGGAGGTTGATGAAAGATTTTGTTGTTTCTTAAAACGTGAATAATTTATAATGTTAAGGGGCTTGTCCACCATTTGGGTGACCAGCTCCTTCCCCTGGAACCAGCGGGAGTTTGATTGAGCTCCAGGTACTTCCAGTAGCGTGCTGCTCACCTTTAAGCATGTTTGAAATAGGCATTTCCATGTCTAATGAGAAATTTATAATCATTCGGATCGTTTAATTACAGAGTGGCCGAGTGTGCACGTGGGACCAGCTATTTTTTCATGCAGCCATTACATGTTTTATTTTTTAATCTTTTGAGAAACGTATTTATTTCCAACCAGGCCATTCACCGCTCCGAGTCTGGACCCACCTGCATGACCACACTCAATCCAAATGCTGTTGCCTGTTAACGTCATAATGAGAAAGGTTGGGGAGGCAGGGCTGGGAACCAAGAGGATAATCTGGACTTTAGTTTGGGTACTAAAACTGGTTGATCTGTTTTAACTTGGGAAAAAAAAAATAAAAAAAAAAAATAAAAAAAAAATAAAAGCTTGCACCAAAGTCACCAAAGAACCTTTAGGAAAATGTTACGGTTGTGACAAGTAAGAAAGTTAATTTCACTGTTTTAGGTGATTCCCCCTTTGAAACCACATATAGCAGTTACAGCAACCAAGCCTTTGGCTTAGTGTCAAAAACTCCCATCCCTTTCTCCATAGATTGCTCTTTCAGGTCCTCTTTCAAACCTGGAGGACATGTTTTTGCTCCATCACTTGAACCGCCCGCGGACCGTGATGAATCAGCAGGGGTTGTACGGGGTGCTGGTTCATCATCGCTCTCATGGCTTTGGTCCTAATGGTTTTAACAGGTCAATTAAAACAAACAAACAAACAAACAAAAAACACAAACCCCAACATTAAAATAACTCTACATCCTGTCATTGGTGTGAAACCAGAACTTAGTGAATGAGTTGTTAGCGTATCGCTGACTGCTGCTGCCCGTCACAGTGCCTGAGGTAAAAAATTCCCTTCTAGTCCAACAAGCCGGAGCTATGAATGTACAAACTTTTTACGCTCTCCTTCCCGTTTCTACGTGGCTCGACATCTCCCCATCCCTGCCTACCTTTGCCTCAAGGGATCGTAAAAGCTCCTGCGTTGGAATTAGTGACCGAGTGACCACGTGTGTTGTAAGTGATCATGCCTTCCCCTGTGTTCCTGTAGTGTTGGTGAGGAAATTACTCGTCATTGGAAAGGGATGTTTTCTTCACCGTTTTAAAAGGAAAAAAGGATGCAAAATGGCTTTCCTTATAGCTGCCCATTTTTTAAAAAAAACCCCTTTATCTTTTGTTGATTAATTGGCCTTCTGATGTCATTAGTTTGTTATAAATATCACCCAGGAATCCAACGTCTACTGGCTGCCGGGCTGGGCTCGGTTCTGGCACGCAGGTATCCCGTAGGATCCGCTAATGCATTTACTCCCCTGGCATGGGGTGCACCTTAGTATCCAAACCTGGATCGGGATCTTGACGTTCACTGCCGATCACCCCTGGGCAGACCAGTAGCTACGGGTTTCCACCGCGACGGAAAGAACTGGTGTTTGCAGGTGTTGGGTTGGAGAGTAATGGGTTTCCACGTGATGGGAAGCACCGGTGTTTGTTGGGTGGGAGGGTTAATATGGACGCGCTGCAAGTGCAGCAATGCAAGTCTTGAACGGTGAGATTCGGAAACGGGTTCCTTTGTGTTTTTGGCAGCGCGTCTCCGGCTTCCGAGCGCGGTGGCAGCATGGGCTGCTGGTGTGCAGGAGGGCCCAGCGAGGTGCTCGGGAGCACCAGATCCCTGATGCGTTTTAAATGTTTGTTCCCAACACCCCGAAACTGCCATGTCCCTTAAACTTGAGAAAAACACAAGCTTATTTGCACTAGAAAGAACGGCCAAAAACAATCCTTATAGGAGGACAGGGTGAAGAGCACCGGTCTGAACCTCTTTTTCTCATGAGAGAATTTCCTACTCAAGCCCTCACCTCTGTTTCAAAATTGTATGGTCCCGGCAGAAAGTCTGTCAGTTGAATGATTAAATCCTAATGCACTTTATATTGTGTAAATAATATTAGGAGCACATTTCTGCTCCCGCTCTGGTAAGGGGATGCTTTGATAACATAGTCTAATGCTGAGAGAAGCTGTCTCCTGCATGCATGTGTCTGTTAGAGACCTGTTGCACCTGCTCGGTCCAGCTCCCCTCGTATGTTAGAGGAGGACAGGCGCTGTATTGAGGATCCTCTCAAGCCACCCCGGGTGGGATGATTTGGTTTTTTGAGTTGCAATGTGCAGAGCTGCTGAGCGTCCTCAGCTCTGCCGTCGTGGTGGGCTCCTCGCCCCTTCTGCAGATCGGGCCCCCTGTGTTGCTGTCGAGGCTTAAAACCGGGCTTTTCACGTGTAGTCTTGACAAAGCCAAGTCCAGCATCTCCCTCATTCTTGGCTTTCCCCGCTGCTGGCGCAGAAGGTGGGGCAGTCCCTAAAAAGCTTATCCCAGGTGGAAGGGGCTGTGGGGACTTTCCCTCGCCTTTCAGCTGGGGGGGGGGATGTTGTGTTGAGTCCGGCCCATCGATCCGGCTTCCTTGGGAAAGTACAGAGCTGTGGAAGGGTTGGGAAGCGTTTTGCACTGGTGTGGTGAGGGCGGCCCGCCGGGCGCTCCGAGGGGATGGCAGACCCCAGCCTCAGGGGCTCCTGGCGTGGAGCCTGGACGATGGACTTTACCCAGCGAGAAGCTGCAGCGGTTATTGGTATCTACTCGTCGTCGTAAGTGTTTCTTATCTGTATCCAATATATACCAATCCATATTCACATATAGGCATTACTATATTTATGTGACTATATTGTAGCCTGTAGTAGCTCGTAGCGAAATAATCTTATTTATCTGAAGCGCGCAGTCTGAGGAGGGGACGTCTGCTCCCGCCACCGGTCTGGAGAAACGTGTTGGTTCACCCAGAGCAGGCTGGGAGCTCTTGGTCGTGGCCCTCGTGAGCATCCCTTAGGTTTTCAGCAAGGCTGAAAGGGAAAACACAGTCAAAAGGAGGCAAAACTCTTCCTTGGAGGCGTCGTTGAGGCGAGGTGAGAGCTGTGCGGAAGAGGCAGCTGCAGGTACTCCTGGCCACATTGTGTTTCCATGCCATTTTACAAGCCCTGGTTCTGCAGATCTGTACTGCCACGTTCATAAAATCCCGAGCAGAAGTATTAAAATCCCATCCTTTATACAAAAAAACCCCCAAGCAATTACCAAAATCAATGTCAGCACATTTGTTTTTTCAGCTACAGATGTCATAGTCTGGTAATTGCATCATTTTTTTTTCCCTGTGGCCTATTGCAGTGCCCTAAACTCCCAGGGAAGGGAGTTGGTGGTGGTTAGGAAGCCTAGTGCTTGCGTGACTTGCAGTCCTGTTATCCAATCCTAGTAATTTTTATAGCAGAAAAAGGTTTATTGTTGTGTATTTTTATTGGGCAGATTTTGCACCAGGTCAAAAATTACTTAATAAGTGATTTCAATTCCATGGCATTCCCTCTTTTGCTGTACATACAGTAGATATATACAGTTTATGAAAGAGTTCCTAAAGAGAATTAGACCTTCTGTTTAATTTTCTATGCTGCTTCCTCCAAAATTAAATTGCCCTTTATTTTCAATTACTTAACGTGTTGTGCTGTTTAAAATTCACCTTTCCCCTCCTACCCCTCCATTCCTTTCAAGTAAAGGTTGTGCTTGAAATGAAGAGTTTATTCAAGTGAGAGTGGAATTAAAGGCTACACCATAAGCTATACCGAGGCTGTTACCTCAGAGCCTTTACCAAAATGTGTTGGTTTGGGGTGATCCAGTCTTGCCTAAAAATGGCTGAATTCTGTCATGACCACAGGAAAAAGGCCCCCGGCTAGGGGACAAGGTGCTTCTGGACTTGGGTGATTTGGAAGAAGCTAAAACCAGATCTTCTGCTGCTCTGTTTCTCCCAAATCTGCAGATGGGCTGACTCCATTTTTTCTTCCTAATATTTTGTCCGCCCATGTTCAGTTCCCCACCTGCACCTCCATAAAGGCAACGGTATTCTAAAGCATCGAGGTGAAATAAAATACCAAGAACTCCTGATAGATGACACGGATTGAAAATTGGTTTTCCTGAAATGTCAGGGCATAAATTGAGGTTTTATAAGCCGGATGTCGTTTTGGCATTTCTGTGATGGATGTAATTAGATCGTTCCTTCCACATGCCGAGGGAGGCATCGCGCGGAACCTGAACCTGCAGCCCCAGGGCTCTCTCGCGTACATGATCTTCTAGAAAGGTGTAGGTACCTGCTGGTGTTCTCGTGTTGAGTGTGGTCGTGCTCATACTGGCCTAGCCTCGAGGGGCCTGGCTGCCACCCCAGTAAAACCATCATTAACGACTCGCTAATTCATCTTCTTAATTGCTAGGCTACCTCAAAACGCTTGGAGTGGCACGTGGGAAATTGCTAACTCTGTACAGAGTAGCCACCGTAAATTAGAAAAGGCATATTCCATCTTTTAGGTGTTCCAGACCCATCCTACATGCTAGTATTCAACTGGGGTGAGATAATGGCTCCTGCCTTGGCCATGCAGGCAGTCAGATGGATTTCTGAGGCACAGGAAATCCATCCTGAAGGCAGAAGTTTGCGTCTGTTCCTTCGTCGCTGATCGTTTGCCGCGCGGAGATTAATTGGAGGCAAAGATCACCCTCGGTGCTGGGTGCTGGCAGCCGGCTGAAGCCAGGAGGCTCTGTGCCCGGCCCCACTCAGCGCTGCACTGACAGGACACCTCTGAGTTCACATGTGGGAGGCAAGGGAGAGAGGAATATTATATACATATATATGCATAGTCATGTTTCCCCTGTTTCCAGGAGGTCCTTCCTTTTGAGACGTTAAAATGTTATCCGTCGTCTTTGCCGTTTCCCGTGTCGGGGACGTTCAACGTGCAATAGGAGCAGGGAGGTGGATTTCCCAAGCAATAGCAGCATAATCTACTACTACCCTTAAATCTTTACGCTGCAAATCGTGTGCAATAGAATCTGCATTTCAAAACAGCAGAGAGTATGTGGGATAAAAGACACGGGTTAACCCCAGGCTCTTACAAGTATTCCCATCTGGTCCTTGTTCGGAGCACATGTTGTTGGCACAATGCTGAGGGAGAGGGGGAGTAAGAGCTTCCCACCGAGGTAGAGGAACGAAAAGGCAGGAGGGGGTGGAAGGAAGTGAGGACAAGATCCGTGCTCCAGGGAATCACAGAGCATGACGAGTTTTATCTGTAGTAGGAGGAACAGGCGGCACCGTCAGCGCTGGAGTTCCGTGGAGCTGGGGAAGGAGGCAGAGAGCCTGGATGCTCCACTCGGGGACCAGGGTGGTTCTCTTGGGCCAGTTCTCCTTCCTCTTTGGGAACAGTACCATGCTCTGCAAGTGTCTAATCTTGCCAACAAACCCATCGGGGCTAAGTGTGTCTGATGGATGGAGTGTCTGCTTTTCCAGCTTGCTTTTTAAGACTCGAGTAGCTTGGCTCTTACCGAGCTGGGAGGCTTGCCCAGGAATACCTGCAGAGGCTTAGGGGAGCACACAAGTGTTGGTGACCTCTTAAGGTTTGCTCATGCCATCCCAATTTATGGATACTTTTGTGTGCTTTTCACTGGAGCCTTGCTCCGGGAGCCAGCTGAGTGATGGAGTGTTGTGTTATCGATGGGGCAGCTGCTCTTTTCCATTGCAAAGGAAAGGTGTTGGTGAAGGCTGGAGGGGATCAGAGGGAAAGAAAGCAGCTTTCAAGGAGCAATTTCTGTGAGCCTGTCTTTGCAGAAGGGTTGTGTCATTTCTAACAAGACTCCGCAGATGATCACCACTTGTATTGCCTTTGTTTACCTGAGCACCGCTCGGTGTTAACAGCTGTTGAAAGCTGTGCTTTGAAACAGTGAAGTGCTGGAATAATTGTGAGGGCTCTGGAAAAGCTGTCAGTGTCTCAAGCTGGGCCTCCTGATAATGGAGACAGGATCACTTTGGCTTTATCCTGCCTGTGCCTATGTTCCCCACCGCTAAAATGGGGTGAATGATACCTCCCTACCTCAAAGGGGTGTGAGAAAGAGGAGTTTGTTTGGCGTCAGAGTTTTTGTGGTGATCTGATGCTGACCAATACTGATGATCACCAAGAGCAGAAAAGGGAGAAATTTCTTGTGAAATGGAGTGTTTGGAAGATTTGGAACATACCTGACTCCAAACTTAAATTTGCAAGGGTGCCTCTAACGGTCCACTTCAGGGCCCACACAGCAAAAAGCATTCTTATTTTTCCCAAGTTGAACAACCTGGCAAAAATCTGCTCTTTCAGATCTCCCACGGTGGATATTCCCAGCCTCCCTCCCCAAGCTGTTTCCCCCTGCTTCTTCTCAGATACTTCTCATGCTGTCCAGCCTGTGTGTCCCTTCCTTCCATTTAATTCTGTCGCTTTTTGCCTTACAGGCCGTGCTCTCCGGAGGAGATATGGAAACAGTTTATTTTCTTCCCTGCTGCAGCTTTTATATATAATTAAAGGCTGTTGTCAGGTCTCTTCTGCACCCTTTCCTAAGGAAATACAAAGCCTTCCACCAAGGGTAATTTTTAGCCCTCATCATGTACTTGTTGCTTTCTGATGAGTCCGTTTAAACACAAATGGAAGGAAAGCATCAAGCAGCAATATAAGCTCCCTGTGCCAACATGTTTGGAAATACAGGTTTTCCCTTGTGTTCCTAACTCTCCAAGGATTGTGTGTTCTTATCATATGAATAGTCATAGAAGTATTTGCATGAACTTCTCCTTACTAGCATTTTCATTGCAAGGAGATCTGAGAGTTTTGTGTAGGTCTAACTAGAGAGAATTTCCTCCAGGTTCTCACTCCACTCTGTCTCCCCTCTACACGTATATCCCAGTGCCTTCCAGAAGGGCATTTAAGCATATGACCAACATCTGTCAAGCAGCTACTCCTTCCCTCCTCTTCCTGGGGAAAAGACTGAATGCGCCAATTCAGCCCTGGTATTTTTAACATAAATTAATTATCCCTGCTGTTCCATGTTAGCAGTGTAAAGGGTGAGCTGGAGCACGCTGTGTGCTGGCAGCAGCACACCCCAGCAGCTTCACAGCATGAGAGCAAACCAGAGGGCTCACAGGGAGCAAAGCCTGGCTTTGGCATGGCTCCCACCGCTTCCCTCGGCAACTGGTGTTGAACAGGAGCTGTTTTTTCTCTTCAAGTTCCCCCTTGGACCTGTTGCTGCTTTGCAAATTGTCGTTTTTGCTTGGAGCATGGAGGAGTTTCCTGTGCTGCTGCCTGGTTGGGAAGTACCCGATATTAAAAAGAGAGTCTCTCCTCTGGGAAGCTGGCAGGGGGAATCTAAGGCCAGAGACCTTATGTGCAGGCAGAGAGGTGATGGAGCAGTGCTCTGGGGTAAATGAAACTCAGTGTGCAGCCAACAGATGTATTTCTGTTTGGGTTGCCTCCACGATAGCTGCTTTTTCTTTCCTTCCAGATGTTTGAACACTCCCAAGATCTCCATAGTGCTGCTTAGAACAGATATTTGTGAGGGAACTGAGCTGCCTCCAAGGACAGTCTCTTTGCTGAGACTCCAGTGAGCACAGCAAAGTGTTTGGGAAGTGGAGCATTGTGCTGGTGGCACTTTTAAAAGAGTTTTTCCCAGGTGGATGTCTCAGCAGGGATGAGCAGAGGCCACTGACAGCCAAGAGCAGAGGGCAAGGATTTGATTCTCAGTTCTTGGCAGTGGGACTTATCCTAGGTCCAACAACTCAGTTACTGTGCACACCGCTGTAGTAAGCGATGAAGTTTTTTAATTTAAGCATTTTTAATAATACCCCCATCCTGGTAAAATTAGGGAAAGAGTTTTTTGGCTCAAATGTTTTACTTGGAAGCTGAGAATAGGCACGGTGTTTCACAAGGTGAACCAAACCTCTGTGCATCTTACCTCAGAGCGTATCCTTTAAAGTGGCATTTTATTTCTTGCTCCATCTGGTTGCAAAAGATCAAGGTCACCAAAGCAGAAACCCCTGTAGGTATTTATATGGCTCAGTGCATAGGGACATTTTCCTCTCACTTTGCTGGCAGGGCCCAGTCCTGGTTGTGCTTTTCTTCTTCCCATTTGGACCACTAAGAGTATTTATCAGTCCTATTCATGTCTTGTGGGTGACCTGGCTTAAGAGCCCTAAATTTGTTTTTCTCCTTAGAAGTTCAGCACCTTTTATTAAGCCTTACTCTGGAAACGTTGTGCAAAACCCAAATGTGCCTCGGTTCCCTCCCTCCCCATGTGTTTTCCAACTACTGCAGCCGATGTAGGACAAAAAGATGTGGAGCTGGTTATATTTTTCCCAGGCAGTTCTTTTCCTCTGTGTCTGTTTTGGTATGATTTGGCCTTAACCATTCCAGGGATGCTGTTCTGCAGCTCTCACCTGCTTCTGCAGCCCTTGCAAGGACAGCGGGGCTCTGGCTGATGTTAACTCTAGGCTGGGGCAGGTTCTTGGGGTAATGCTGCAGCAAAGGGGGAGTTGTTTAACCATCCCCTCCGTGATGGTTCCCATGTGGAGTAGGGAACCAGTTACCTGGGGCAGATTTGATCATGTGCTGCTTCCTCTGAGCAGCCAGCACGCACCATGTCGCTTGTAGACAGTGTCTGACAGGTTCCCCAGGGATGAGCTTTACTGCATCTGCTGCAAGTGTTGCTCTGAGCTGAGGCTCTTCCTCCTCACCGGGGCTCCATGCCATGCCTGGATCCTTTGTTACATGTAACCTTAATTTTGTTTCTCTGAAGGTTGCCAGGATTTCCTCCTCCCCGGGGCATTTAAATGGGGTGCAGAGCAATTAGAGTCACTTTTCTCGGAGTGTGTAACAGCAGGGTGCTTCCATATCAGTTTGGGAATCGACCCAGGGGTTTGATGTGGGTTGCTAAATTCAGGCCTGTGGGATGAGCATGCCCACAGCAAAGTGTGTATGAAGATGTGGAGATAAGAGCTGTGCCTCTGCCAAGCTCCTGTCTGCTCTCTTACACTCCTGTACTGACTCTGGTTGCTGCAGTGGGAGCCACCAAGACCAGGGACCACCAGAGCCTGCCTGTGGCACCTGGGTCAAAGTGGCAGCAGAGACCTGAGCCAGGCAAGGGACCTTCACCCACAGGTATCGTGTGTCACGGTACAACTCAAAGGGAAGGAATCCACAGCTTTATCCTGGATTCTGCAGCAGCCCAGCTATTTCATCCTTCCTTTTCTGCCTCATGGGACTTTTAGCTCTTGCCTGGTGCATCCGCTCTGGAGAGCATATGGACATGTCTGTCCGGGGATCGGCGTGTGCCAGCACACAGTCTGCACGTAATCCTGCTGCATCCATAACAGCATTTATTGCTTATGTCAGCACAGCCATCCCTCAGTGCTGCCAGGGGTAACCCTTTGAGGTAACAAGCGATAAGTTCCTTCTAGCTGTCTTATTAAAAAAATAATTAAAAAAAAAGAAGAAGGAGGTGCTGGAACATTTTCACGGATGCTGCCAGCTTTTAACTGTGGGTTACCTTGGTGAAGGCATATTACAGAGACTTTTCTTTTAAGAACAGCTTAAAATTGTCTGTTTGGCAGTGCGTGCTTTGTGCTGGTATGTGTGAAACTGCAAGAAAACCCCCAATCCAGAGCGTGAGGCAGAGGTGGTGCCCATTTGCTCCTCTCTGCAGCACCAAACTGCAGTTTAACCTGTTGCTTTTCTCACCTCTTTCCTGCTCTTAGGAGACACCCTCTACAGTTGGGATAACCTCCCCAAAGCTCCCTTCTCAGGCTTCCCACGGAGGGAAGTTCATCCTCCTTCTCCACACTGCAGCCCCTGAGCTGTTGCAATAAACCCTTGAGGTGCTCTCTCAGAACCCATACCGGTCTCTTCCCCTCGGTGAGGCTGAAGATTCTGTGCAAAACAGAACAAGCAAGAGGCCAAGTCATGGGGAGTTTTCACTTGTCTCAGCCTAAACACCAGCCTCCTCCAGGCTTTCAGTCTTCCAGGAGCTTCCCATCTTTCTAGCCAAGTGGTTTGTTTGCTAGAAGAAGAAAAATTGGTAGTTCTGTGCTAGCAGTAGCTGGAGTCCTCTTTCACTAGTGAAGGCATTTTCTCCTTTGAATTTTGTTTGAATGCAGAAACTATTGTGAAATGAGAGCTGTAATACTGGGAAAGGGGAGATCAGAGCATTCCTCTGGATAGGGTTTGATGCAATTTGAAGCTGCTTGTGGAAGATTGGCTGGAAGGTAAACTGATTTGGGCTAAAAAAGCTGGTGCTGTTAAACCGTATAAGTGACTCTTTAGTGGATGGTCCAAAATAGCTTTTTTATGGCCTCTGACCTCTAGGAAAGATAACTGGATTTTTGATCTTAGATTGAAGGGGCAATTTCTGCTGAAAGAAACTTGTGTTCTTTAGAAACCATCTCAGGCTGGCATTTACTGTCAAAAACATTGCATGGAAACAGACAGAAAACAAACCAAAAAATCACACATGTGAGTCAAGCCCAGGTGAGCCTTGCACTGTCCCTGAATCCGGGATAGATCCTGGTTGTCATCCACCTTTCTGCCTTCATGGCCACCAAAATTTCCCGTAGACACCCGTGTGGGTGTGATTAGACAGGAGCTCCTGTTTTTGCAGCATCCTGCTTTGCACCTGGGCTCGATCCGTTGGCTGTAGAGGTGTTGTGCCCCCCAAGGAAAAGCACTCCCCTCCGATGTTCCTGTGTTGTGTCGGAGCCACGGCGCCCGTACCAGGTGGGAGACGCTGAGGCGGGTGTTGAGTTGGTTTTTCAGAGCAGTGCTTGGTTGCCAGCTGTTGTCTGGGATGCTGTGGCTTTTGGTACAGCTGGAAAAAAAAAAAAAAAGAACCTTCTCGTTGAATTTCAAGTCAGGGGCCTGTTTTCTGCCAAGCTACCCCCCGCCGTTTCAAATGTATTTTATTCTCCTTTTCTTTGCACTGGTCCCGTTACGCTCCGCTCAACAGCTGCTGCATTTAATCCCAGAAGCTGCAGTTGGTAGGGAGCAAAGTGATCTCCCTATAACCTCTCTCTTACTCATAAGTGTGCATTATGAAGCTTAACCGATGGTAATAAAATGTTTTGCTTTCAACATGCCGTCCCTGTGGTCCAATGTTCCCGTCTTCAGGCTCCGTCATTACAGCAGGGCGATGTGTTGGAGCTGTTCTGCTGCTCCCCACGAACCTGCCTGGTAATGCTGGACACGGGCATCTTGGATGCGTGTGGATACCCAGCCAGGAGAGATGGAGAACGCGGAGCAGAGCCCTTTCGGTGGGTAGCAAGCTGGCGGTGTTGGCATTCCCAGGTGGAAGCAGCTCTTTGAGGAAGACTGTATCTTGGCAGTCAAGGAAAAAGGCGCTCAGGGTCTTGCTTGGCTGTGGCCCAAAGTGCAGGTTCCCATCTCTGTGAGATAGTCTGGCAGTGCAATCTGCTGTTAGAGCCTCTTCAGGGACTACGGCAGGACGTGGGGGAGCAGGAACAGATTGCAATCCTGCTACTTGGTTGGGGTTTTTTCACCCCTTTCACAACAACTCGGCAGGTTCATATTTGGTTTTTTGGTGTTGAAAAAGGGCATTTTCATGTCATCCTGCACGATGGAGGGGAAAAAAGATGCTCCTCGCCCACATTTAATAACCACGCAAAATGCAGAAATTCTGCTCTAGGAATTTCATTTTTGTTTACACACCACTGATGCTTTCATTAACAGCATCTTTTCACATATAAGTACTTGAGAGGTCGTACGATTTTCCTGCTCTAAACCAAAAGCAGGGTTTTCCAAGCAGGGGTGTCCAAGCATCATTTCTGTGGTACGGTGGGTTGCATCAGCCCCACAGCTGGTTTCTCTTGGACAGGATGTGGTTTTTCCATATTTGAGGTTTATAGCATTTGGATTCAGAGCAGAATTTCCCAGGCAGAGTGTGTCCCCCCCCCCCGGAAGGTATCAGAATATATGGCTTCGTCAGGCAGCGATAACAGCCTTTTTCTGGAGATTGCCATTTTGTAAATAAGCTTCTTCTCGAGCAGCACGGCTCCAGCTACAAAAGATGGATGATTGTTTCTTCCTGGAATCGGCCTTCCGCTGCAGGATCTGGTTTTTATTGTGATAATTAGCATAGAATTAAAAATGGCCCTGCGTCTCCAGTTCGCCCTGTAGTTCCTCTGGTACGGAGCGATCCGGGATGGCGTTTTCTTCGGGAATGGGCTGTGCCTGGGAATCACTTCATTCGCTGCTGAAAATCAGCGCAGGGGTATCTGCAGGCTTCGACGCAGCAAAAGCCTCCGCCTCCAGAAATAAATCATTGCTCCTAATAAACTTTCAGATGAGTTGTTTGTTGGAGGGTGGAAAAGTTGCCAAGGATATTTAGACGAAAATCCGAAGTGGGATTTTGCAAATGCCTTTAAATTCCAGAGCTGGGGTTGGAGGTGAGGTCACGGGCAAGCAGGCAGCTTTTTCTCCTGAAAAACTGTAATAGCTTTTCTTCTTAAAAATTTAAAAGGGTAGTCACTCCAGGCAGAGGCAGAACTGTAAGGAGTGTCAGACATGGCCACTGGTGTGTCCATAGGAGAAAGTGAAGCAGCAAAAGCGTGCAAACTTCCTTGTGAGAGCAGCGCAGGAAATTACCGAGCAATTGGACGCGGTGTCCTAGCGTTAGATTTATTAGCCACTTCCAAATCATCTGCCAAAAATCCTTTCAATCGGAAGACAGGAAAGAACATGTTATAAAAAGACCTGGAAAAGGAGTGATTTTGGCACGGGAGTTTCCAGGCTGGTGATTGTCCATGCGTACAGTGTTTGGGTTTGGTCTCAGCGTTGAGGTCAGCGGTACTTAAACCAAATGTTATCGCAGTGCCTGCGTATGGCAAATGGTGAAATGTCTGGCGGGATCATGGGCACATCCACGCTCTTGTGTGCGTTCCCCAGACCTTGCTGCTTTGGCAACAAGACTGGATACATCATTCCAGCAGTTTCTTATCTGGATGGTGGGCTGAGATGGTCGTGTTTCCCCACTGCACACCTCGCTGCCCTCCTCACTGTGGGGCACTGCCAATCTCACACTGCACTTCTCCAGCTCCCATGCCTTTTCCAGGCTGCTTTCTTTCCACTTGTATGCCTGCAAAGTTGGAGTTACTTCCATATCCCCTGTATGCAAGACCCTGCTTTTTGCTTGTTTAAATCCAGCTCTTTCTGGCAGTAGTGGAAATAAGTGACCTGACTTTGTAGCTCTCTTTTAAGGTTCCCTGCTTCTGGAAAACCATCTCCCTAGTGCTTGGTCTCTGATGAGGAGCACATATGCAGCTGTACCTGCAGCATCCCCAACATATCCTGCCAGCTCCAGCAAGTCGATATATTTGACTTAAAAAGAGCTTTCTCCATAAAAATGATCCAATACCTGCCTCAGATGCACCAGATGTTGCACAGCCAGATGTTGCCTTGTACAACCCCTTGGAGATTTGGCAGCAGCGCGTGTGGGGCCTGGGGAGCCACTTTGCTACGCTGTGACCATTTTTTTGAGGTGCCTGCTGGAATGTAGTGAGAACTGAAGATCTGGTTTCCCCCTTTCCATGTGGCACTTTTGGGAGAAAACACTCTGTTTTCGCAAGCGCTGAGCTCCCCAAGTAAGGGGATGGGAGGGCACTGCTGGAGCATGTCCCAACTTGCAAGGAGCTGCTTCCAGCCCAGGGTAAGGACTGGGACCAGCACAGTCCTTAGCAAGGAGATTTCCTGCCTCCTGTTTCCAGCAAGCAGAGCTGATGCTTTTCCAGCATGAGCGTAAAGGTAGGATTGGATTTGTGGCTCACAAAAAAGCAGGTGCCAGCAGCTGGAAGGGGCAAGGGAAGTGTGTGTTTAAAGAGAGAAAGGAGAAGTGTCTGTCATCCATTGGGATGAATCCTCCTTTTCCAGCCTCTTTCCGGGAGCGTGCTGATCCAAAGTCCTTCTCTGGAGCGTTTTCCTTCATGATAATGAAGCCGGGCCGTTGGTAACGTCAGTGTTTCCCAGACCGCCTTCGTCGTCTTGTTCTTGCATTCATTGTCCTTCGACCGGTAGGGTGGTTATGAGAAAAAAAGCCAGCTTAAAGCATAGTCAGAAAGCTACAATTAACGAAGCAAGCCACAGATAAATAGGTAAAATAGGCTAACCTGTAAGATAGGTGTAAAAGGAGGCAGTCTGCCGCGCGGCTCCTCTGTAAAACGTGCATGATAAGCGTCGGCGAAGCTTGTTGCAGACACTGGGCAGGGCTGCTTTTGCTAGACTTTTGAGTATCCTAGTTGCAAAGACTCGTAAGTGTTCCAAAAGGCTCGTGGTTTTGGAGTGGGGTCTGTTTTTTTTCTGTTTTCCGTGCGCTGTGGCCACTTGCTTTCCGAATGGGTTTGTATAGTGGTGGAGTTAATGGAGCTGTTCTTTATAGTAACCTAAAAGGTGTCAGTCGTTTGCTCGTGTGTGTTCACAAGCTGAGCCGTGGCGTTACGCATCCCTCCGCGATGGTGTGATTTGAAGCACTTTTGGTGTGGCATGTGCAGTTGCAGTGCTGTCTGGTTTTAATTTCCCCCCCCCCCCCCCCTCCCCGGGTATTTCCCCCCTCTCCGTGTTCCCCCCGTGTTTCGGACACTGAACCAAACCGACGTCGGAACTAGCACTTTAAGTACTAGTAGTCACTTTGCTTCGGACTATATTGAGCACTGCACTTTTGTACGTACTGTTAGCACTGAGTTCTGAACTCCTTTCTTTTCCCCACCTCTTTTCCCCCTTAGGCGCAGTGTTAATTATGTGTAGGGGCCATCAGAAGATAATTTTGAGGTGTGTTGGACCGCTGTCCGGTGCCTGACTTCCATTACGTATCCGTTAGCGACTTTACAGTAGGGAATTTAACCCATCCAAGCTTATTTTACACAGCAGAACAGACACCTGTGTCACTGACGTCCAGGCAGACGTGGTTGCTCTAAACTTCGAGGTCCTCCGAGGAGACCCGAGCGCGTGGCTTTTTAAAAACACCAAAGATACAGGAGAAGTCTCAGAAGGGATCGGGATGGGATTGGAATTGAGCGGAGCGAGAGGCGTAGGGCGGACGCTCTTGTGTTCGGTACGAGACCCCGGTGAGCCCGTGGGACAGCCCAGTTCAAACCAGTCTGAGACTCTGGTAACAGTATAAAGACTGCGCTCAAGCCATTGCAATAAAAGCCATCATTGTGCCTGCACTGGAAGTGCCGTTGGAATTGGTCGTTGTTTTCAACTGCAAAAAGGTATTTTTAAGTAAAAAAAAAGACTGAGAGATGATTTAGAAGATGGAGCATAATAACCCTGGGGTTTGCTGTTGTTAGGGAGTTAACCGGCTCTCGTGTTCAGAGGCAGTTCGGATGTGCATCGCTATTCCCGTTAAATTCCTGTGATATTTCCGTAAGGAAGGCTGGGGATCGGAGCTCCCTTGCCAGCAAATCAGTAGGGTGGAGTTTGTAGCAAACGTAGTCAGAAATCTCTAGGATTTGAAATGGGGTGGTGATCCCTGGGATGCTGAATAATCCGAATTTTGATGCCCCAAACTATCCACTCTCAACCAGCTGGGGGTGTTTTGCTTCTTTAAAAGCCCTCGTGGGTTTTCACAGCAGCAAATAAATCACGGTGGGTGTGGGAGTGCTACATCTCCCCCACACCAGGGTATCCACACTTGGGACTTGCTGCTCATCCTCCTTGACGAGCCCATAGTCAATCCAAATCCTTCTCTGGCAATCCTCCTTGATGGGAGTTTCTCCCTAGTGAAACCTAATGGACAAACCCCACCTTTACAGCAAGGATCCGTTTGAATGGAGAGAAGGGAATTAGGTCTTCTCCTTCACTGCTAGCAAAGGGCCAT